TCATGCCAGCTGCGCTGCAGCCTCGATGCCCCTGGCCCTTGGCCTGCCCCACTCTGCCACAGCCCTGGCCCGCTGTGAGCCGGCTGTAGGTCCCAACTTGCTTTGTGTACCCAGCCACACCCCAAAACACTCACATCGTGCTCACCCAGTGCCAGGCGGGTGCAGCTCAGCTGGCCGAACACCCCCTGCTGCCAGCACCTCTGACTTTTAGTGGCCACTCGGGCACAGGCAGCTGAGCACGGCCCGGTACCACAGCGGTGCCAGTCGGGGCTTTGCATCACCGGGTGGAACCAGGGCATTTGCCCTCAGCGATGTCTCCTGCCCTTGTCATTTTTCATTTTGAGCATGGGTCTCGCTGAGTGGCCCGGGCTGGGCTGGAACTTGCAGCCCCGCCTCCCATCCACTCGGGGCAGCTGTGCACAGGGCCGGGTGCAGGCGGGCTCTGGCCCTCGATCCCTGGTGCCTCTTCTTCTCCACCCCTTTCTCTCCATCTAACCTGCAGGGCGTGGCTTGCTGAACTAACCCGACCCCACCCCTGTGTTCCCTGTGTTCACAAAACCGTTTTTAATATTTTGACAGGAAGAGTAAAGGTATCAAACAAAAGCAGACCATTCCCAAGGTAAAGCCACGCGCCACCCCACGGCCACTGCCTCTGTCCCTGCCTGGCTCCCGGCGGTGTGGGACTCACTCGGGGTGGCCGGGAAGGGACTGCTGTCGCCTCGGACTTCTTTCTGCCCCTCCACTGCCCCATGAGCAGTGCTCCTGGGCTGGGTGCAGCTCGGAGCTGAGAGAATCGCGGACAGGGACTCAACTCAGCAGGGCAGGCAGCCGCCGCAGCGCCCAGCAGCGTCCACACAGCCACAGTCCCTGCAGGCGCACTCACGGGCTGGCGATCCCGTGCTCTCCCTCCATAGGCCTGACGTCCTCTCAGGGATCAGGACGCATTACACGGTGTGGCCGCTGTTAATTGCAGTCAAGGAGCCCATGGGGAACGAAGTGTGCGTGCCCAGGGCACATGCCGGCTGCTGTGTTTGTTCTCTCGGGTTTTTGAGACGCAGTCTCGCTGTGTCGTTTGAGGCTGCTCTCAAACTCATGGAGCTCCTTCTGCCTCAGCCTCCCAGATGTTCGGGTGACAGATGCATGCCACCAGGCCTGGCTGGGTGCATATTTTAAAAAACACGTTGAGCATTCTTTATCCAAATTTCCAGGATCCAGAAGCATCTCCAGTTTTGGAGCTGTTAAATTTTTGAGCTGGGTATGGTGGTTCACACCTTGCATCCAGCACTCAGGAGGCTGAAGCGGGAGGATCATGGGAGTTCAGGGTCAGCCTGGGATACATAGCAAGACCTTGTCTCAAAACAGCAAGAAGTAGCAAACTAATGAAAAGGACTAGGGATTAGCTCAGTGCAAAAGCCTGGAGTGCACTGCTCAGTGCCGCCCACGTGAAAAACGCCTACAGGTATCAAATGAAATCTCCTGGGGCTTGGACTCAGTTCTGAGTCTAAACACAAAACTCACTTGTTTCGTGTACACCTTGTACATGTGGTCCAAAGGTGACCTCGTATGATTTTTTCTGGGGGGATACCAGGGATCAAAATCATGACCTTGTGCTTGCAAGGCAGGCTCGGTGCCACTGAGCTAAATCCCCAGCCCCTAGTATGATATTTTTTAAGGATTTGGGTGTTCTTTTTTTTTGGGGGGGGGTTTGTTTTTTGAGACAGGGTCTCACTATGTAGTTGAGACTGACCTGGAACTCACTATGTAGCCCCGGCTGGTCTCGAACTCACAGTGATCCTCCTGCCTCAGCCTCCCAAGTGCTGGGATTACAGGTGTGCGCCACCACGCCTGGCTGGGGGATGTTCTTGTTGAGGTGTTATTTGTTCTTTTTTTTTTTTTGAGACAGGGTCTCCCTGTGTAGCTCAGGCTGGCCTTGAACTCACACTGATCCTCCTGTCTCAGCCTCCTGAGTAGCTGAGATCACAGGCATGCGCCACCACACCTGGTGATATTTTTAATGATTTTGCAGTGAAGCAGGGTTTTGTGGTATAGAATCTGCACTTGTGGGCGCTCATCAAGCTTCTGACTTCAGCACATTGGGATTTAGGACTGGGGAAGCTGGACCTGCAGCTGTGGAGCCGGGATGCAGAGGGTGTGGCCAGGGGCAGACTTGGATGGCCGGTGGGATTCTCCCAGGCTGGGGCTGAGCACTGGGGGCAGGCGGAGGGTGGGCACCGAAGCCCTGGCCAGGCCTCCGCCCCGGGAGAGGAAAGGTGTGGCAAGCGCTTTGTGGTCCCCAGCCAGAACGGGCCAGCGGAGTGGGGTCCTGGGCTGCGTGGCTGCGGAGGGCTGGCCAGACACACGCATCTGTCCTAGAACCTGCTGGACCGTGCATCTCTGAAGCTGATCGTCAGCATGACGCTGCACGACCGCACCACCAGGTCCCTGCTGCACCTGCACAAAAAGAAAAAACCGCCCAGCATCAGCGCCCAGTTCCAGGTGGGTGCGGGGCCACGCAGGACCTGTCCTGTGCCTGCTGGGTGCCAGGAGTTGGCCCACTTTGTGACAAGCCATGTGGCAACTGTGTCCACCCTGCGCCCCTCCCAGTGCTGGGCCCTGCATCCACACTGAATGACCTAGGAGAGCCTCACGGTAGCATGGCGCCTCCCATACTTCCCAGCCCATCCTGATGGCTGGTTTCCCTTTTTTGCCCTGGCCACTAGGAAGCTCATGGGAGGTATTTCTGGTGAGGAGACCAAGCGGTCAAGTATCACTTACTTTTGCCTCCTCCTGAGTCTTCTGTCCCCCTCTGCTGTCCTGACAGTGCCCTCCTGCGGGGCTCCTGTGGATTCTTTCTCTTGCTCTGTGCTAGGGGTGAAGCCCAGACCCTCGTGTGTGACAGGCACAGACTCCGCCACCAAGCCACACCTGCTGTTTGCCAGGCCTCTTTGAAAACCCTGGCCAGGGGTCGGGTGTGCGGCTCGGTGAGCGCCTGCCTGGTACGCACGAGGCCCTGGGTTCCACCCCCAACAATGAAAAAAAAAAAGAAAGAGAAAAGGGCAGGCGGGGACTTGACCTCTCCTCCACGGTCCCTCCTCTGAGGCTGCCCAGCTCCTGGCCATCACCGGTGCCGAAGCTCCTCCCTTGGGGGACCCTGTGCTGCCTGGTGACCATGTCCTGGGTCCTCTGTCCCCAGACGTCCCTGAATAAGCTGCTGGAGACGCTGGGCAAGGCCGAGCCCTTCTTCATCCGCTGCATCCGCTCCAATGCTGAGAAGGTGAACGCGGGGCTCCTGCATGTGGCAACTTCAGGGGCGGGGCCGGCCTGGGAGCCACCGTAGGGTCCACCCTGTCCCCAGGACGGCGGCTGGGGCTCCGCAGGGCCACTGGGTGGGAGCCTCCTGTGACTGTCCCCCTTTCCTGGCCTGCCTGGCCCAGCCCCATTCCTCCAAGCCTGCCAGCTGTGTTGGGTGCCCCACAGCAGTGTGTGCAGTGGCCCCCTGCCGGGTCCTCAGCCATGTCGCCCAGGTCTTCACTGGCCCCAGGCTATGGCCACTTCCACTTCCTCCCCCTCTGGCCTTAGTTGTTGGAGGTGACACAAGTGTCGGGCTCTGTCCCCACACCACCCACCCCTGTGCCTGGGCAGAAGAGGTGCAGCCCAGGTTCCAGTCGGGGCCCGTTGGCAGCAACCCTTGTGGCACGTCCACTCAGGCTGTAAGATGTAGCCTCATCCCCAGGGCTCTGGAGAGGGAGCAGGTCAGGTACAGGTTTCCCTCCGGTCAGCAGCCCCTTTCCTTGGTCCAAAGAGCATGAGGGACAGCCGTGTATGGTGCGCACTCAGGAGGCTGAGGCAGGAGGGTCCCCAACTCCAAGGCCTTCCTGGGCTGCATAGGGAGACCTTGTTTTAAAAAAACAAACAAATACCACAGGGAAGTGACAGGAGCCTCTGAGGCACCACACCTGGGTCCCCCAGATCCCGGGGCAGCCTCAGCACGGCCCTGACCCCCTCATGCCCTTTCAGAAGGAGCTGTGCTTTGATGACGAGCTAGTCCTGCAGCAGCTGCGCTACACAGGGATGCTAGAGACCGTGCGCATCCGCCGCTCCGGCTACAGCGCCAAGTACACCTTCCAGGTGGGCCGCACAAGCGGAGGTCACTGCCCGCCCTGTGGGTGACGCTGACATGGCCCGGCTCAGAAAACTGTTTGGGAAGCTGAGGCAGGAAGACCTCAAGTTTGAGCCCAGCCTGAGCAGCTTGACAAGGGCTGGGGTCTGGCTTCTGTGGCAAGCGCTTGTGTAGCGTGCAGAAGCCAAATTCTCTGCGCAGCCCTCAGAAAGCTGCGCGGGGAGTCAGGTGTGGCCAGGACCTCGCAGGGAGCCTCACTCTGGTCTCTTCTCCAACCCAGGACTTCACAGAGCAGTTCCAGGTGCTGCTGCCCAAGGACGCCCCACCCTGCCGCGAGGTCATCTCAGCGCTACTGGAGAAGATGCGAGTGGACCGGAGGAGCTACCAGATCGGGAAGACCAAGGTCTGCCACACCCCTGGGCGGGGACGGGGCCTGATGCCCACCCATCCCGAGCTTCAGAGTGGGCTCTGGCCCGCTTCCTCCTGGGTCCAGGAGCTTGAGACCACTTTCGTTCTGCATGGTAGGACCTGGTGTGGCAAGGCAGGAAGCCAGAGCACAGTGGTGCACAGCCGTCATCCCAGCACTCGGAGGCTGAGGCAGGAAGAGCACAAGCTCCAGTCCAGCCTGAGTGACTTAGTTACTTATTGAGGCCCCGGTCTCAGTTTTCTTTTTCTTTTTTTTTTTTTTTGGTACTGGGGATTGAACTCGGGACATGTGCTTGCGAGGCAGCAGAACCACTGAGCTACATTCCCGGCCCTCAAGATACTTTTAAAAGGCTTGGCATGCAGCTCAGTGCGAGGGTGCTGGTCAGTCCCCAGTGCTGCCAAACATGACCCAGCATCCCCGTCAGGAAGCACTGAGCCATCCGCCTGCCGCCAGGTCTTCCTAAAGGAGACGGAGCGCCAGGCCCTTCAAGAGACGCTCCACCGCGAGGTCGTGCGCAAGATCCTGCTGTTGCAGAGCTGGTTCCGCATGGTGCTGGAGCGCCGCCACTTCCTGCAGATGCGCCGTGCGGCCGTGGCCATCCAGGCCTGCTGGCGTTCCCACCACGTACGCCGGGCACTGGAGAGGACACAGGCCGCTGTGTGCCTGCAGGCAGCGTGGAGGGGCTACCACCAGCGCAAGGCCTACCGCCACCAACGCCAGAGCGTCATCCGTCTGCAGAGCCTGTGTCGTGGCCACCTACAGCGCCGGAGGTGAGTGGCTGGGCACTGCTCTGGGGGGCACATGGGGCTCCTGAGGTGCCCCCCGCTCGCTGGCTGGCTCTGGGACCCGGCTTTGCCCGCCACCTGGCTGGCTGCACAGCACACCATTTCCTGGTCAGCAGGGGCTGCTCCCCCTTGACCCACAGAGCCTGGATACCTGCTGGGCAGAGACCCCACAGCAGGACACAGATGGCACCCGTGCCCGTCAGTACCCAGATCCCCAAGACCAACCCTTGGGCCAGAGTCCCTGACAGAGAATAAGGAAAACCTACTCTGGGGCATAGCAGAACACCCTAGGCCTGTAACCCTTCTGCTCGTGAAGCTGAGGCAGGAGTGTCTCAAGGTCAAAACCAACTTGGAAGACAGCAATAAAACAGGGCCGGGGATGTAGCTCGGTGGCACCATGCCTGCGTTGGAAGCACAAGGTCCTGAGTTTAATTTCCAGTACTAGAAAAAAAACAAAACTTGGGCAATTTAGCAAGGCCCTGTCTCAAAATGTAGCTCAAGAGAGGGCCCTGGGTTCAGTGTCCAGCACTGCAAAAAATCAAAATAAATGGAAGCGTGAGTTTCCTGGAAGAAACCGCCTGCTTGCAGTAGGCCCTGTGAGGGCCAGCGGGCACCCGGCTGGGCGTGGTGATGCTGAGTGGGCCCTGCCTGTGTCCCTGTGGTGGAGGCCGTGACTCCGTGGGTGACTGTGGGCCCCAGGCAAAGGCGGGGCATGGGCCACAACCTGACCCCTGCTTTGTCCCTGCAGCTTCAGCCAGATGCTTGCTGAAAAGCAGGAGGAGGAGGAGCGGGCGAGGGAGGCCCTTGAGACCGCAACGGTGCAGGACGCGGAGGTCCCCGAGGAGCAGGTGCCCGGGCAGGATACGGAGGCAGCTGGGGACAGTGCGCACCTTGCGCCTGCGCCCGAGGCACAGCTGGAGGAGCGATCACAGGCGGAGGAGGGGGCAGCGCCAGCGCCAGCCCC